ATTTTATCTTTTAAATTGACTAAATCTCTTTCAAAGGAATTTTTTATTGATTATATTAAAATGTCAATAAAGGAGACACTCGATTGTCTCATGATCGTTCTCTTAATTATTTAATAACTTTTCATATGAAAATAAAGATCAATCAAATACAAAAAAAGAATTTATTCAACATAGAAAGATAAGAGACAAGACAAAAAAGAGAATTTTATTCGTTTCACTTTTCTTATCATGAAAGAAAAACAAAAACGACAACTTGAATATAAAATTTATTTTTTATTATTAAAAAATAGTTGTTTGCCTGTAGAACATAATAACATTGTTCTTGTCTTAATTATGTATTTTTTTTTCCTTCTTGACTTTTCAAAAATTTACAAAATTAAATTTGACAGGTAAATATTTTCATGAATGAATAAATTTTTCATAAGACCTACTTCATGCAAAATACAAAATATTTAATTAACACAAACATATATCTCTATCAAATGATTTAATTAAGAAAAAACATGAAAACTTGAATAGCAGTCGAATGTCTAAATTATTTTACATTTGTAAAATATCGAATATTCTTTGTTTTTTTTAATAATATTTCTCAATCATTAAAAAAAACCAATCTCTTCAAACAGACTTTCGACATTAGAGTAAGGTTAATTTACAAAATAGAAGAGAAAAAAGTTTTTACGTATTTATTTATTGTGATGCTTTCCAAATGATAGGAAAACGTGGATGATCCATAGGAGCACCAGGTTTTATTTCTTGAGTAATATCGGAAAAATCTGGTGATGTGACCCATGTTCTTGGCGAATGTTTTACATCATCACCTAAAAAGCGAACAGAAAAAACTCGCCGACGACCTTCATTTCCTATCGTTCCTCGAGCACCATGTAGGGTAAGCATATGAAAAGCGATGACGTCGCCTGGTTCAACGGGCCAACCAATGATGGGAAATGCGTCTCGATTAGCCTCAATATCAGGGATTTCTTCGAGTGTTCCTTCAGGAAACCATTTTGCTTGCGAACTCATAAATGTTCTTGGCATAAACCAACGTCCTTCACGATGTGATCCGGCAATAAATTCAAGCGTTGAATAACGAGACACTGGATCAACAGGTATCCAGAAGCTACACGTTTGATTTCCTTCAATATTATAATAAGGTTGATCTTGATGCCATGGAGTAATTTGTTTTGTGTTTGCTTCTTTTAAGAGTAAATGATCATGATAAAGTCGACTAACTGAACTCTCCATAAGAAGTCCTGCTACTGCAGCACATGGTGATTCATATATAAACTGTTTATAATAGGAATTATTCTCCCATGTACAAAAATCTTCAACAAATCGACCTGTATCGTCAGATCGACTAGCAATTTTGAAGCGAGACGATGGATGTGCAAGATTTTCATCGATACCTTGTCGAAGTAGATCGATTTCGTTGTTAGTCAATAGTTGACGAATACATACAGCTCCATTTTGTTTGTATTCATTAACAAGAGACTTTGTAATTATTGAATGAGCTCGCTCATTTGATGTCATCGAATTCGTTTATATGATTAGCAACAATCGATGTTAGACACAATGAAGAAATAAGAGATCTATTTTATATGTTATTCTTTTATACTTTCGTTTTTTTTTATTCATATCAACTGATAAAGAGATATTCATCAAATAAATATATAAATATCAGCAAATTTTAAGTCGATCTTTATGAAATTGCTTATTTAAAAGAAAAAAGAGAAATATTAAATATATATTGCCTTTATGACTTTATTCTGTCTTTGCATTCTAAATTCTTTTCATGATAAGCGGAATAGAATGATGAAACACATTTTAAAGTAAAAAATTCTTGAAGGAAAAAATGAACGAGTGAAATAACTTGTTTCTGTTATCATTACTTGTTGATATCTTTATATAGATGATAAGAAAATTTGTTTAATAAAATTTGAGCTTCTATTAATGAAATATCATTGACACATTAGAATCTTTTGTTTTTATTAACAGAGAACAAGATTGTTTTTTTAGCTACTCTACGAAATCTGTAATGATTTACTGTTGTATGTAAAAGCGATAGAATTTAACATTTAATCATATTTATTCCGTTGAAGTTATCTAAACATAATATTAATCACTCGTTCTTCAATATCTTAAGAAAAAAATTTTCGACTGTTCTTCTTATGAGAATGTTCGAATCATCATCTATTTGAATCATTAATTTACACAGTTTGAAACTATTCCAAATTCACTCAATAAATTTCTTGTAATATTAAATATTGAAATGAATAAAATATTTCTATATATTCAATATATTTAACATCAGTATTTCACGATTATATATATTTATCTAATTAATATGTTTTCAAGGACCATTTAACCATTAATAAATTGAACTATCACTATCCCTTTTCAAATAGGTATACAGTTTAAAGAATGAAATTTCATCAGAGAAAATTTCCATTAACTTATATTGGGGTGAGTTTCTTTCATCACAATCAACCATTGTACAGAATTCTCGTTCTCTATTAGAAGTTGCTCTTCAACATCATCAATTATTATTAGCCAATATGATTGTGAGAACTTATTGCAAATTTTAGTTTGAGCATCATCGTGAGATAATCTCTCTTGTGAAATAATTGTTACACACATAACAACCTCCAGATAGCTCAGATCTGTAGATTATGGTCGTAAACATATAACACCAGTGTATGTATCAAATATTGTGATGTCATTTGTGCATGAAAGACAACGGAAAGCAATATTATTGATAAATTTCGGTAGAGAAACATAATTTAGATGTTGAATCTTTTTTTTTACAACCGTACGTGTCTTGAGTGCAGATAATGTAACACAATGAATTTTAATATCAACTGTATTAGTTTTCATTTCTGAAAACTAGTTAGTAATTAACAAAACCTACTCATTGTGAATAAGAAATTCATCAGAAAGATGTGTTTTATATGAATATATTCGAATGTATACGATCCATGTTCAACTATGTGTTTGAACGATTTCACCACCAATAATACATCTTTGATTATGATGATGAATTAGAGGAAAAAAAATCTCAAGCCTAACAAACAAAAGTTTGTCGCAAAAATAGTCATTCCTGCTAGACAACTAGTATTAATCTGTGTGGTTGAATTAATTACTTTACTTTTTTTGGGTATTCAATATTCTTCTTGTACAGTTATATATTTAACAAATGTAGTTGATACATTTGTATTCAGTTGTTTCAAAGTTCGTCATTCTATTATTATTAAATTTATATCTTATATTGAAGTTAAGTTAGATAATGAAACGTTTAGTATAGTTGATGTCTTGAAATTGAATGGCGGTGTACTAGTGCAAAGTCATTAGCAAAGTTTTCAGAAGAATAATTCAAATGCACTATAATATCATAGACCAAATGACTTTGATCTATTGTTGCATTTTCATTTACAAGATTGTACATATCGGCTGTAATTGTAATACATTGAGCAAGTATTGTAAAACCTTGAAAACAATTTACAATAGTAACAAGATGTATATATTGGAGTGGATAATATCATTACAATTACTTTGGTACCCATTCACTTTGTTCAAACGTACTCACAAACAATACAAGAAAAAGCATTAAAAGATACTGTTGACGTTTAAAAAGTTCGATCGTTAGTTGCTTTATGAAGAAAATTATGACTATTCTCTAAGAAATATAAATGTTAGAAGGAATTCCATGATAATCGTGATACTTAGTAAAATTTTCCTCTATTTGTTGTATAATGAATAAAATTTTGTTGTTTACCTTTTGTGCATCTATGTCAACATGTTAGATGACTATGAAAGAAAACAAAAAAGACATTCTCTTATAAATCAATCAATCATAGTTATCGGTTGTTGTAAAACTTTCTAGAACAATATCACTTCATTTTTCATCGACTAAAACATAGTCTGGAAAAATTAAACATACCTATACAAAATATATAATGAAAGCGGTTTCCAACTGTACGTTCAAAAAAGTTTTATTATGTTCTAATTTTGAACAACGAATGTATTCTTACCAAACATCAAAATGTCGCCTGTGAAAAGTAAGTCACAATCGATACGATAAAAGGAACGAGTCGCCTTCAAGCTGTGTCGTATTATTTTCTAGCAGATATTTAGAAAATAAAATAATGAATGGAATGCAGAAAAGAGCAATAAAATAAATAGTAAGACATGTTAGAATTGTTTCGAATAGATGTCTCGAAAGTACTTTCAAGATAGGTTCTGTTTAGATATTTTTGATTTTTACAAAACATGTTTTAGCCGATGATAAATAAAGCGACATTTTTCTAAGAAATTTTACGTCAGCTGTTTTTTTTTTTTGATAATTATTCAAAATGAGAGAGCTCCCTTTATCAAACTGATCCGTTTGTCAACCGAATGTTATCCATGTTTTTTTTTATTTCATTAATGATGTTCAATCTGTAAAAAAAAATGCTCAATTAATTGTCGAGTTATACTTGATTCGATTCAAAAAACAAACTTCCACATTACACGTGATTGCTCTACAATTTACTGCATCAAAAGAAAAAAGAATTTTCATACACGTCCAAATACATTCATTTATCTCGAAATACCTTATAATTGTCAACCAATGTACAATACCAAAAAGGTTAAATGTCATATAGATATTCTAAACACTTAAGGTTCATTAAGATTTGGTTGTCAACAAAGAAATTCATATGAAGATTATGTTCAACTGATTACGTAATTGCAAAGCAGCTGTCATCAACATTCAAGATAAATTCTCTACTTGTTTGCTAAACTTAAATGATTCTTTTAATCATTTAAAGAAGAATAAATAACCAAATTTTTCAAATTTGGTAAAAAAAAAGAAGCAAAAGAGAAGGGGCTTTCAAGATATACTTTTAATAATTGTGATTAATAGAAAACTTTTATAAAAATGATATCAGATGGAATCTTCTTTTATTTGATCATAAAATAATTCATCGTCAACAAAATAAAATTTTTGAAAAAAGACAAAAAACTTCTTAATAAATTAGAAAGAACTTCAGCAGTATATAAATCATTAGAACAAGACACAATTTCGATTCAACGACAATACCATTGTTATTGGCAGTGGTTGTTGTATCATCAATAACAGGTTTTGGTGTTGATGAGAATTTAGGTGATGATGTTGATGTTAACATTGTTGTTGATGGTGGTACTGTTGTTGATGTTAACATTGTTGTTGATGGTGGTACTGTTGTTGATGTTGATGAGAGTTTTGCTGTTGATGTCAACGGTGGTATTGCTGTTGATGTTGATGGTAGTATTACTGTTGATGTTATTGGCAGCACTGGTGTTGTTGTTGGTGAAGCTGTTGATGGTAATATGGATGTTGAAGAAGTGCTCGTTATTGTATCGCTTTGATTAATAGTTGCTTGAATCCAATCATGATACATCGATAAACGAGTGTATATACCAGGTTGATTTTCAAGAGCACAACCTATACCAAAACTCACAATACCAACTTGTTCCCAATGATCACCTAACCATTGATGAATCGGACCACCACTATCACCTTTCAAATAGGTATACAATTTAAAGAGCGAAATTTCATCAGAAGACATTTTTATTTATTTACCTTGACATGAATCTTTTCCACCACCGTCAACCATAGCACAGAATTGTCGTTCTTTATCATAACTTGTTCTGATACATCGCGGATCATCATTAGTCAATGCCATTACACGAACTTGTTGTAATTCTCTAGGTAGAGTACCATTCTCAGTTAATCTACCCCATCCAGCGACTGCTAAAAGCTTGCCAGCTTCTGGATAGTTGAGATCAGCTGACTGTGGTGGTAAACAAGTAATACCAGCACGATTATCGGATACTGTAAGATCGACTGGCGATGAAAGACGAAGGAGAGCAATATCATTGATAAATCTCGAGTCAGCACTAAAATTTGGATGTTGAATTACTTTAGCAACCTTGCGAATCTGAGGTGAAGCTGATAATCTATCATGAACACCGATATGAACTTCAGCAATCATAAGAAGTGGACAATGAGCAGCGGTTAATACCCATTCATTATTAATAAGAGATCCACCACACGTGTGTCCAAGTAAAGCTCGAATGGATACAATCCATGGCCAACTATGTGCTTGAGCTGTTTCACCACCGACAATGCGTCCTTGATTATGAAGACGACTAGAAAAAACAGGTCCATCATGAAAGACAACTGGTATAGGTGAACATCCACATGAGTAGCTTGTGTTGCAATTAAATGGGATTGGTCGACCTCAAATAAAACAAACACATATACTAATAAACAGGAAAAAAAAACATTTTTTTCATATTTCCTTCATACCGGTTGTTGTAGTGGTTGTAGTAGTTGTTGTTATTGGTGGAGGTGTTGGTGGTGGATTGTTTAGTGTAGTTAATATCCAATTAACAAAAGGTGCCACTCTTGTAAATAGACCTTCTGTAGTACATTCATTACGAAAACTTGTAATACCAACTAATTCATATTGTTGACTATCATTGGAAAAGACCATCAAGGGCCCACCACTGTCACCTAAATCGAAATTTTCTTATCATAGAAAGGATCGAACTAAATAGTTAATATCACGAAAAAGAAAAAGAAACGACTCACGTACGTAAACATGTTCCTAGAAATAAAAAAAATGCATTTGTATACGTCAAACAACAAACATAGTTATAAAGATATATCTTACCTGTTGCACATAATTGTGTTGTTGCATTAATCGCTTTGTTTTTGGTACATTCAACATTTTCTTGCACAATTACTTCTTGTAAGAATGTTGCTGCTACTGTTGGGTTTGATTGATTCAAAATACCCCATCCTATTGTCGTAAGATTCATGTCTTCGAGTGATGTTAAATTTGATAATGAAATAGTATCTAAATTTAATGCTTTCATATTGAATGCGGATGAGACACGTACAAGTGCCAGATCATTGAGATAACGAATAGCACTATAATTTGGATGTGCAATAATGTGAGATATCGAACGAACTTGTTCCAGTCCCTCACTTTCATTAAAAATATTATGTACACCAGCTTCGATTGAAAATAGGTTAAAACCATTTATGTGAGCACCATAAAAACAGCTGGCAGCAGTAAGTACAAATATTTCAGAGACAATCGAACCACCACAAATAGGTAATATTCGGTTTGTTCCCTGTGAATCATGAAAACGTACTGAAACCATCCAAGGAAAAGCATCAGCAGGTGCTTGCGAACCATCAAATATTCTTTCAATGATTTCTTGCCCAAAAACTTCATGAATAGTCAAGAGAATAATGATGGCAGTAAGAAACTTCATGTCAATAGCTCGTCTCACCATATAAAAAAATGATAGTTGTATTGCTGTTATAAACTGTTTTTGATCGTCGCATAAATAAATATTTGAATACTATTAGATTTACTGATAAAGTTTAGTCTTGAGAAAATTTTTTTCCACTATCCTAATCTTGAGTTTTAGTTTTCTTTTTTGCATAAATACGAAGAAACCGTTGATATACATTAATCTTTTTTAATACTTGAGTCAATCTTTTTCATAAATACAGAAAATTGATAAGAAAATTATGATATAAGTCTCTTATGTTATAAGATAAAATATTTCTAAAATGATTTATATTAATCATAAATTTGCATTTTAAATAAGTGATTAACAAAAAAAAAAACTTCTTTAATATATATGCTATTTATTCAAGATAATAAATAAATGTCTGTCTCAAAAGCATACATTCTTAAAAGTAATATAATACTTATTATTGAAAAAACTAAAAGTAGTGGGTTAATTTTATCAAAACTTCTATAAAATACTGTGATTACTATTATCTGCATTCTTGTTCCATTTATTTTGTGTTGCGAAGACTTCAGAAATTTAACCATGAATTTTGAAACATGTATTAATATATCAGCTTGATAGTTTATACAAAATCAGAGCTTATTTTTATAAAAAATATTATTTATCGAGATATTCCATTAAAAAAAGAAATTATCAAAAATCTGCGTTTGAATACATTTTTTTTGCCCACTAAAAACACAACCAAGCAGTTCCGGAATGTATTCTTTATGATAGGTTTTATTGGTATAAAGAAAACGATGTTTTTTCCTATAAAAGCCTTTTTTTCACAGCTCTATCCATATCAATTATTTTATTATACTTATTCCACCCTATTGCATGTTTCTGAGTAGCTTATTTTGTTAGACTGTAATGGAGCATCTTAATGTCTCAATAATACTTCGATTTATTTCTGTACTGACGACTATAACTATTTTTTTCAAATATTTTAGAATTTTTCTCAAAGAAGTTATTAAGAAAGATGTAATAGAATGGCATAAATATGATAAAATAATTAATATGGCTCAAAAGATTGAAAGAGATCAGAGTTGAGATGTCAAAGAAATTACGTTTATTATAGTACAAAGATCATTCTGGGAGAGTCATTTACATATATATTCTTTTTCTTAGTTTGCTTCAATTAGTCAAATTGTCATTGTGGACTGAGCGATTAGGTATTTCTAACTGAGAATGTACATTTATATACAAAGTATTTTCGTTAGATAAATTATCTATTAATTCTGGTTTTTTTTTCATCATAGATGAAACTCAACATTTCTTGCATGTGTTGATATTTATCATTGATTTTTATAAGCGGTGGCCATCAGATAGATAACTTTAAAGATTGTAAAAGACTCATCGAGGTACACACAACGGAATCTTTTTTAATTTACAAGTAAAAAAAAAACTGAAAAATTCTGAAACATATTTATCAAATGTAAATACGCCATGACTTTGTTGTTTTTTTTCTACTTGATTTCATCCTAACATTACAAGTTCGTCAATGAGAGAATGAAGACAGAAGAAAAAGAGAAATTGACGTCTAAATATTTTTAAAATACATCAATTTCATCATTGGAAGAACAGAACATAGTTAACAATACAAAGAAATAGAAAAGTGAACAATAAAAATGAAAGATTGGTGTTCTCAATTGTATTTGAAAATTATGTTTGGAGAAAATGAAAGACAATATATGATTAAGTGTATTGTTTGTCACATAAATAAATTATACATATGTATCCGAACATTTTATTGAAAACAAAGCATCTAACATTGCTCAGCAATTTCTACAAGAACTTATTGACGAAAGAAAAAGAAGTTAAGCTAAAATTTGGGTACAATATTATTATGAAAACAAAAAAATGTATTAGCTACTTTTCTCTTTTCAAACGCAACCTCTTTGAATGAATCAAAAATATGATAAAACTAATGATCTAAAATTATGAATCACTAGAAATTTTGTGGGAAATAAACAAAGAAAAAAAAACTCTGTATGACTAATCGCTACATGAAAAAGATTTAATACATTGGTTACCAACAGCAACATCTTATCTACAACTTTTTCTACTTGTTTAAGAGATTCTTTTTATTAAAGCAGATATATTTTATTCATCTATGTTCGTGCACTTTGTTACACAACGATTTCTTTCTGTCGTTTTATTCAAATACTATAATCACAAAATTTATCTCCATAGCAACCCTATTTAAGAGATTTTTCTTTTAGTATAATATTACGAAATATTTGTCTATATTCTAGTAGATTTTTATTTCATAAAGAAGTGTTTTTACTCAAATGTGAATTTAAATATTCCTTTAACTTGTTCGTAGTATAGCTCTCCTTTCATAAAGATAGTGTTCTTATGAGTTTTCAAGAAATTCTTTTTTTTTTCAGTAAAAGTGCACTGGAAAAACACATTTTAAATTGAAAAAAATCATAAAAATGTAAAGAATAGTCGTTTTTTTAAAGTTAATGTTGAAATGTATGCATGAATCTTCGATTAATTTACATGTCACTTTAAAAAATAATGATCGTATTGTCCAGAAGAAAAATTTATATCTGATGTTCGTGCTCTTATTCTTAGCTAGATCGCTGTCAGTAGATTGATAACATGCATACTAAATTAAAAGTTACTTTACTGTGTTTTAGCAATTAAAATGAAAACAGGAGCAGCGAAGAACCATTAGTATTGAAGAAGTAAGACAAGAATATTTTTACACTAATGAAAGAACACTAAAAATTTTAGAATAATATTAAGTAGAAAATCTTTATTTTGACTGGATGCATAATATATAACATGAGATTCGAAATGAAAATAGCGAAAATACTAATACAATATTGACAGTTCAAAATAAAAGGATAAAAATTTACTTTAACTAAAATGTAAAATTTGATACATCTTATCAATCAATATAATATTTCAAAGAGATGTTATCGAAAAAAAGAAATGATGCCTTATTTTTTTTGTCTTCTTTGATATTATAAATTACAAAATGAAATTTATATTAAACATGAACATGTGTGAATTACTAATCTTATTGTTAGAATGAAGTAAACAATTAAAATTATCAGTGCATATCGTTCCAAAATTTCTTGTTAGAACGTCATCATAATACAGATTGTTTTCACAGTAATAGTTCAATGATTTCATTTAATTTGACATCAATTGTTAACAGTTGATTGATTTTCATTGGAAATATCTTGTTGACTATAATTTCAATCAATGTATATTATCACATTTTATTTATTAAATGAAATTTATTTTATTACTTATAATATTAGCATTATTACAACAGTAAAAATTTGTTTAAAATATACAAAGATATTTTCACATTCTTTGTCATAAAACATGACAAACATATCTATCTATCATCGTCCTTGTGAAAGAAAATATTTTTAATAAATATCACGTATCTTTTTTAATTCAATTAATTATTTGATACATCAACAAAAACTGTTAGCAGCACTTGTACGAAAGAAGAATTAAATGATTATATTTAGCTTACAACAATTGCAAAATAGATGTGTTTAAAATGATAAATTGACTAGAAAAAAAAGAGTTGATAACGAATGACCAAAACGTAAAATTGTTTTTGAGATAAAAATAAAAGTAAAAAAAACCAAGAGGTGCGTCGTGTATTCTTGATGATAAAAGTTCGTATTGTAAATGAAAAATGTGATAAGATTGATATGATACACGAAGTCAAATATATAATAAATACAATATTGAAAAGTCTATGGTTGATTGTTTTAGATTTTTTCTTTTATTGCTATCATCGTGCATGTCACACTGTTCCTTTCTTATGGAAAATTCATAGTTTACATCATTGTAGCAAATATCCAACACCAATACAATCAATTTTAGCTGGTGATATTCAAGATATAATTGAAATTTTTCTTGTACCACTTTTTTCTTCATTAGTTGTACCTTTAACAGTACATGAATTTTGGATTTTCTCAATGCATACTTATGTATATTGAAGCGGTAGGTCATTCGGGTATACGTGCTTATTGGCCTCATGTCATTCTAAATGAAATACTTAAGCCATTCAATATGGAATTATGTATTGAAGATCATGACTTACATCATCGATACGGTAAGAATGGTAAGAATTATGGAAAACAAAGTAGAATTTTCGATCAAATTTTCGGTACTATATCTCAACGAATTGAATGTGTACAAAAATAAATGTAAAACTGATGCTTTTCTATTACAGAAAAGCAAAATAAACAACAATTGTACAAAGTTCTTTTTTTGATTTTTGTCATAAACATTTTTAATATCACTGCTTATTGTTATGAACAATAAATAAAACGTGAAATGCTATTATACTACAACTTAAGTTTTATTTTAGAATCGAAGTTTTACTTCAACTTAGTATAGTATCATCCTATAAGCAAAAAAAATAAAAAAAATTAATAAATTTAGGATCAACATTTTATTTCAAGTTTGATGACTATGGAAGACCGTAAAATGTCATTTTAGGAAGCTTTGATTGTCACTTGGATGTTAATTCTAACTTATAAAACGTTGTATCATAAAGTATACTATAATTTTGAGATAAATTCGAAGCTTTTTCTATTTGGAAAATCTGTAGGTTTTATAGATACATCTATGAAATTTAAATGAGTGGAATACAGAAACCTCAGTCGAGAATTCCTAAACGAATCCCTGTCAAAATTCCCTGGGGAATTCCAACAGGGGTTCTCTATGGATTCACGAAGGAGTCAAGAAGTTCCCAGGAATTGATGTGGAGGTTCCTGAGGATTTGCTAGGGAATTCCTAAGGATCTGCCAGGAACTCCCCAGGAATATACCATGAGACTTACGATGACTACAAACGATCGTACACGACGTTCTTATCATAATATCCATCCCTAGTAAAATCTCATTATAAAATCTACTTGAAGTCCCTAGGGAATCATGATAGGGATTTCACCAGAGACGGAGGATGAGTGGGAGACCCCTCAGGGATTTGTTTAGGGATTCTCGACCTGGATGGAAATGGCTGTATGCTAGACATCTTTCTCTTAAAATTGACTCTAGAAAAAAGCATGATTTATAATATTATTTTTAAAAAAATGTTATGCTGGCCTGTAAGAAACGTGAAATAGTCATTTGTTTTCAGAATTGCATTGAAAATAAGTACGTGATATTAATAATATCTGTTGAAGTATGAGTGTTTTTCTCACATTCACTTCATCGATGACAAAAAGTTTTCGTATCTCTTTTAAAAAGATATTCAAAACAAGGCATAATATCAAAAATGTAGTAAGAAATTAAATACGAAATCAATAACAAGATCAAGCATAATTTTTATTCTAGATTGAATTTTTCTCAGACGTGAGTGCTCTTGAGGTGAATGCCGTTATTTTGTAGTCTTTAATGTAAATATATTCTTTAATAACTATGAATATAAACAAATGATATCGAAGTATCAATGAATCAGTTGTTAAACTTCTTATCACAGGTTTTAGCATAAAGCCTTATGTTATCATAGAATATCATTATCAATAAATTCTACTTATTTTTTTTTCACATGTTTTTCTTTCAAAATACTTCATTGTCTTCTCTTTGATTAGTGATATAATATTGAAAAACTATTTCTGAATGTGTTTTAATTTGAATTCATCGAAAAATTTTATTGATTGCTGTACATTATTTCTAACAGATTCTATTTGAAAATATATTTTATTCATTATTGATTTATCAACAACATTTCATTATATGCTTAAAAAAAGTTCTATATCGATTTCTTTTATGCTTATTCAAGATTTAAAAAACATCAAAAATAAAAAAATCTCGCAGATTAATAATAGCTTGAGCCATATACAAAAGGAATCTAACAATGAAAAATAAAACTTTTACCATTGTAATTACAGACGATTTTATTTGTATGACCGTTGTTATCTCGTCAAATATCCATACTAGAAATAACATAAAAAAAATTATCTTTCATATAATCAATGTAGTAATAGCAAAAAAGAAAAGAAAATAAACGTTGACATCATTGATTAGAATGTGAATATAATGATTGTAGTTGGTGATCCAATTAATACAAATATATAAAATTGTTTTCATAGGACAACATATTTATCTTATGTCTATAAGAAAAAATGAATCATTTTTGATTTGTTTTAAAGAAATATAAGACGAGCAGAAATTTGATCGAAATAAACTTATCAATGACAAATATTTTTTTTTTGTTTTCGATAGTTTTTACTTACAAGATCATAATTGTATATTAGAATTTAATTTAAAATATGTTTCATGTGTTTATGATAGCTACATTTTATAAAGTTTATTTTCATTCAAACATAATATTAACTGTCCAATTTCTATAGGAATCATCATTCACTTATAGTGCAATTATTCCAGAAACTTAGAGCACTTACGAACATATGTATATCACTAACAAAAATTTTTCATTTTCATCGGATTAGATGTGTAACTAAATCTAGCATTTTTTCAAGTGAGACTATTCTTGTTGACGTATTTATTGAAATATCTGATACACAGAAATTTGGTCTTCAAAGTTAACGGCTAGAGAAAAAGTCACACAAGACTGTTTTTTTTTTCGTTCTGGCAGGTTACATCTTGCAGGACCATCGTTTTATTATATTTTTGACAAGGCAAAAAGCTTGTCTGTATATGAGATACGAAATATAATATCATAGGCATACTATTTATAGAAAAATTATTTACTCTATTATCATGTTAATAAATCTTATCACATGTTTTTCAACAGAAATATAATCAACAACAAAGTAAATAATTGACATTCGTAAGCTGAATAAAATAATGATAATATATAAGCATAAAAACACAGAATTCAATATTTTATCAATATGAACAGATGGGCTGCAAGAAAGGATAGATTTTCTTTTCCTTAGTGCTTCCTTAGTTTCTTGTATGAATACATAAATAATATGATTATTGATTTGACTTGGTGATAAACGCGTTCGTTTTTAAGTAAATGTCCATTGGGCTGAGCTAAATAAATTTTTCACAGAAGCATTAGCCGCGAGTATGGCATTTATTCTTCTGGCTACTATTGATAATAATGAAAAATCACGACGTGTTTCACTAATCAACTATAACTTCATTGAATCACAATCAATCAGATGATTTGAATGCCCTGTAGGATTTATATATTACCCTGCCAGTCTTGCGTCCTCACAAAAGATTATCATTTTTCTGCATGTGCAGAACTGGGGTTCAGGATATGCATTCAGTGACGTTGGTTGTTAGCAACTTCAAAATGAACTAAAATTATCAATATTTGTCTATTAAGTTTATTCATTGATGGTATGAATGATCATTGTTCTATTCCGAATAAATTAAACTTATAGTTCATTTCATGAACAATATTCTATCGATTGTTTATCTTTTACTTAAGGCTCGTCAAAAGATTTATAATGAACAATTTTATTGTCCATTAAAAATAAGTATGAATTTGTCATTTTGATCAAAAACTACGAATAAACTTTCATGTGTATTATCTTATTTATGAAGTTTTTGACAACTATGGTTATCCTTATATTCTATCAATCATATAACATATATAGATCAAATATTTCTCTTCTTTACTAACGACTGATGAGTAAAATCAAAAACAAAATAGCACAATAATAAAGAAACTTTTGAAAACAATAGTGACAAAAAAAAAACATGAATGCATTTTAATTATTTTATTTAAAACAGATTATTGAAAATGAAAATTGTTTATCATCAATAGATTAATTTATTAGTTTTCTTTTGTATTTTTGTATGTCTATTTATGAACAATAAAACCATTTTTAATAATGTTTCTATTATACGTTGGTGGATCATAAACTTTTTCTTCGTCAACTTCACATCTTGGTTTAGGTATACGTGTACCTCGTTTTGCTCGATTTTGTGCAATAATATCCATTAAACGTAAAGGTGATTCATTCGGTCTTGGAGTATTTACTTTTATTGATGATTCAGATATTGGTGGTGATCGAGCAGTTTGTTGTTTTCTAGATGATGGTGGTGGAGATATTTCATTGCGACGAATTGGTTTGGCAGAAACTTGTGTTGGTGATTTTTGAGAAACAACCGAACGAGGAGTTGGTTGATAGGGAGAATGAACAGGTGAAGGAGGAGAAAAAGTTGGTGGGGTAATTCTTGAAGATGAAAGAGGTATAGAAGGATCTTGGGTATAAACTAGACGTCGAATGGGTCGGGGTTCTTCCATATACTGAAATAGAAAACAAAAGGCAGTTATTATTGATATAAATATTTGTTCATAATTGATATAATAAATAATCGAATATATTTATTTAATCTTACTCTTTGTCTTGGTACACGTTCTCTTACAACATATTCGACTGGTTCTTCATTTTCTGGTATATAATCAAGATCATCTGAATAATCATCTTCATAAACATATTCTATTGTTTCTGGTGCTGGGTGTGCTTGATAAGTACGATCTACAACTTGTATATCTCTTTGTCGTCTTGGTGAAAAATATACATGTTCACGAGGTGGTACCATTGGCATTTCTTCAACATAATCATAATCATTGTCATTATCAAAATCCCTATATTGATGAATAATTCGACGTCGAATTAATTTTGGTGAACTACGTTGTTGTTGTGGTGGTGGTGGTGGTGGTTGTTCTTGTGCAACAGTTGGCATATTTTCAAGTTCTGATATATCATAATCATCACCATATTCAATTGGAATATGATAAATAACTTTATGATCACCATAATCTTTTTCAACAATGTTATAACTTCCCTTTCTTGTTTTATTTGTAATAACACCATGTGTATTATTTTTATATGTGAATTCATCAGATGCATAATAATCTGATGGTATTCTACTTGTTGTCATCACAGCAGGAGATCGAACGAGAATAATAACGTCGAAAAAAAATAATCAAAAACGACTACTAATTTAAAAGAAAAGAAAGAAAGAAAAAAAAAGAAACGCAAATCATTAAGTCATTGTTGAAGTTCTCTCGTTTTTTTTTTCTCAATCGAAGAAAATAAAATGAGGTAAAAATGAGTCAAATTTTTTTAAAAATAGAGAAGATCAAATGACATACTACGAAGCCCCCAGACAAATACATAAGAAACCTATCCAATTACACCTTTTTGAATCGTGAAGGTCTTAACAGAAACTTTTTTTTGTTTATAACTATCATAAAATTCATAATGAAATGATTTTTCATTCTAATTTATTTTTCTATGAATTAAATATTTTTTTTTTTTGCACACAAAAATTTCAAAATAACAATAACAATTAAAATAAGGCAATGTTCTTTGTGTCTTTTTTATGTTAAACATTTCCTTCATTTGCATTTTCTTCTTCTAATAATCTTAGTCGATTCCATTCAGCCCATTCAAGTGATGATAAATCATCTGGCTCTGTTTCAGGTTTTTTAACCCAATGGTGTCGTTGAGCGAATTCAAAACAACCAAATAAAACTGCCATCATTACATAAGCAACAGTAAATTTCCATCCATCATCTGTATGTTTTATTAAAACTCCAACACCTGGAGCATTGATTAAACCAAAAAAAGCAAAAAATCCAGCTAATAAACTCCATACAGCTGCGTGTATAAATTTTCTATCAATCATATACATGAATATAGCTGTTATAAATATACATTGAAGAAGACTTCCACCAGCAAAATTTAAAAGACCACTATATGAAAACCCAGATATTTGTGCAGTGATATTTTGATCAAAGGTAGTATCATTTGTAACAAAATTTGTATAAGCACCTGAAACACCACCTATTATTGTACGTTCAGCCCAATCAGCTACAATTGGCATAAGACCAAGAAGAAATGCTGGATAATGACGTGGAGGTGTTATTGCAAGAGTATCAGCACAAATAACAAGACCAATAAATATCTAAATTTATAATTAATTTTTTTTGTCAAAAATAATATTTACATTTAAACATTATATTTACAATAATTGGATTAACTGAAACAATAGCAATTATTGAAAGTAGTAGAGCATTTATGCCAAAAAAACATAATGGTAAAAAAGCAATGCCATTAGCTATTGAATAAGCTTGTTTAGCACCCATCTTTTTAAATGCTGGATGACCAATGAATGCTAAATGAGAATTATATACATTTCTCAAATATATATTTTTAAAAATTTCATATAATTAATTTTTGTTAATTATTTCAAATAATAATATTTTCTATGTTTGTATTTTTAAACGAGCACAATTAAACATATCAAAGAACAAAGCATATAAATAAATGTCCTTGTTTAAGATATGTTTACATCATATTTAGGTCAAAAAAATGATAAAACATTGATAAGACATCAAGGAAAAAACTGCGTAGTCAAAATTTGTTCTATTAAACAATTTTAAAATTAATTCATTTTCCTAACTAAAATGTATTTCTTACTTGTCATCCCAAGAATTGATCCGAAAAAGCTTGCAATTAATGTTCCAACTCCATCAGCAAACATAGCTTCACGTGTTGGATAAAAATCTCCAGCTCTTTTAGCTGATTCAACACATTGTATTGTTCCAATGGCAATTGATATAGCTGTTGGAATTGTTGTTGATAAATATGGAGTAATTTCACCTATATGTGAAAACATTGCTGTAATTGGAAATGCTAATGGATATGGTTTAACAATATATGTAGCATTTCGTACATCTACAGCCTGATTTAATTGTGTTGACCATCCAAGAATAGTACCAACAACAAGAGCAACAAATGCAACTGGAACAGGACCAAATTTTACTAAAATTTTAAATATTCAAATTTTAATAAAGTTTGTTTTTTTTTTAAATAAATTTACCTCCAGAAAAATAACCAAGCATAACAATTGCAAATGGTAGAAAAGATACAATAGGTGATGCAGCTACAGGTAAATATTCATTTAATGCTAAATAAGTAAAACCAATGCCTGATATTGATGAAAGAAGTGCAACACCAGGTGTATTTTTTCTAATAAATTCGCCAACAACACATAATACAAGAAGAATAATTCCCGTTGTAAAATTACTTGCTAATGCCACATACCATGCTAATTCTTCACATGATCGTCTATCACGACCACTCTTACCATTTATACATGCACGATAAGTTGGTGCTATTATACCAAAAACAAAGGCAACTAAAAATAAACAAAAACAAAAAAAAGAAAGATATTGTTTTCTTTTTTAATTGATAATAAATAAATTTTACATGCTCCCGGTGTATTAATACCATATGGCATTGTACATACATCACCACGATTTTCTTTATAAGCAAGTTTTCTTGCCATATATACATAATATAAATTTCCCCATAACATAGATAATGATACACTAAAAACAAAAAGAATTATTCTATTTTGAATAAACTTCTTTTTTTTGTTGATTTTACCCAGGAACAATTTTTCCATAAATAATATCATCTTCAAATACAATTTTAAGGCTAAGTATAACAGCTAATAATGTTGCTAAATTATTCATAAATAAAGCGACAAATCCATCGATATCACCAAGAACAAATAATGGAAATTTCGGATTGGGTCTAAATGCATTGATCCATTCAGATGGATGAAATGTAACTAATGCTTTAGCTTCTCTTTTCAATGCATCTAAATTTGAGTAAAATAATTCATTGAAACTAACACTTTTACTTGATTCTGTTAAAGATTTCACAGTAACAGCAGGTCCGCTATTAATTGCTGTTAAATTGTCAGTTGGAACAAGAATAATAGGTGGTGATGTTGGTGCACTAGACGACGCCATCTCGATTGAATCCGGTCGACTCACTAGAAAAAAAAGAAAAAAGAAACAATGTCTTATCATTATTTATACAACAATAAAGACTTCTTTTCGTTTTCTTTTTCTCGCACTATTATTTACAAACATCATGAGACATGATGAGAGAACTTTTACTAGAATAATATCAATGTTTTGAAAAATATCTTAATTCAAAAAAAACTACTTTTTCCATCATCAACCTATGAACGCACAGTCCATTGTTTAGCTTCGTACTACATGGATATAATAATTATGATTTTCTAATTTTTATGTATATGTTATGGTCAAAATTGGAATTCAATCATATTCTAAATTTGTCCAGACCAAATTGGAATTCTAATTTTGACCAGACAAAATCAGAATTTTATTTTCATGAACTGCAAAACCGAGAAAAAAAACAGCAATACGAATACAAGTGGAATCAAAAATGATGGTAAAGATGAGAGACAGATCTGAGTAAGAGTGAGAAGGGCTAGGTCTATATCCCGAGGTTGCGAGTGAAATTAGAGGGGATAATCGTGTAAAGCCTTAGACTTACTCAAAAATTCATCCTTACTATGAAATTTTTCACTCTCATCAAGGCTATCTGCGGCACTCTCATTCAAAACCTTCTTCCTGACTCTCATTATCATCCTTCACCTCATTCGTGTTTTGGTATTGGTTTTTGCTTAGTTTTATAATTCATCAAAATAAAATTCTAATTTTGTCCGGACAAAGTTAGAATTTGACCAGATTCCAATTTTGACCGTAACATATACATAGAGACATACTTATCTATTTTATGTAAGAACTATGTTCAATCTCTTGTATTGTATAATTCGACCAAAAAGAAAAACCAGAGATTATACACGTGTTAAAAGTAATAGTGTATAATGATAAAAATACTATGAATATAATTGTTTTATTTAGAATATGTAAACATACTTTTTTTAAAGTTTAAGTTTTTCTTTCAGATATTTTTATTATTATATAAATGAAAGATAAGATTAGAATAAAAGGACAAAAACAAAAAAGAAACATCTATGGGTTTTCTTATGAAGATAATGAGTTAATTTTCGACGTTGTTTTTTTTTCATCTTGAAATAAGAAAAATGAAAGATTTATTTATGAATAAACCACTGTTAGATGTTGAAATCATAATTATTACGTTTAATATCTGGAATAAACTCTTAATTTGTATCAAAAATAAATTCATTCAGTAACAAGAAAGAAGCGCCATCTATTGAAATATTATTGTTGAAAAAATTGATTAATTTTTAAAATAATAATTACAATCTAAACAAATATAACTTTTCTTATAGTTTTATAAGATAAAATCTTCATTAAAATCTTATTTGATTTCTATTCGTTTATTATTTTCATCAATTGATGAATCAAACATTTTCATTTTTTTTCTCATAATTTCATGAAAACGATTAATGAATATAATTGAAAATCCTTCGCCTGAATTTGAACGTCAATTTGTTCTTGCAATAAATGCACGACGAAAACTTAAAGGAGTAAGTTTATAATAACATATGCTCTAAATTATTATTTACATTTATTAATTTAGAATAAACCAAAATTTTTAATAACTTCAAATCAAGTATTATCATCAAATGATGATAATGAAACGAATCAAGTTATTTTAACTGTTAAAAGTATTCAAACATTATTACTTAGTTGTATTGATAAATGTCCACGAGCTTATAGTGCTAGGTTAAAAATTTTTAAATTCATTTTTTTCATTGATATTATTTATACGTTTATTTTTATGTAGTTGGTGTAAAATTTTACGTGTTCAAAAACTTCAACAAATTCTTATTGTTGTTGTGAATGGTGTAACAGATGACAATTATAATCAATTAAAAGATACTGAACTTTTTCAACAATGGAAACAATTATTCACTTCGGTAAAACATTTATCAAACATGATCTATTCATTTTATTATAGAACAGAACAGAATATTTTTAAATCTAATTAGAACTATAGCAAAACAGTTTCATATTTTCTTCATTAAAAATATTATATCAAATAATCATCAGAAAAAAGATTTCATTTGACTATGTGTAAATATAGATACATTGTAATGTCATTTGGTTCGATGATTATGTGAGG